AGTGGTGGGTGGGAGCAAGTGGGGGGTGGGAGAAATAGAGCAGAGGCGCCTCCCCTCTCACAGCCCCTTAGAGCAGAGGCGCCTCCCCCTTAGGAGCAAGTGGGGGGTGGGAGCAAGCAGGGGGTGGGAGCAAGCAGGGGGTGGGAGCAAGCAGGGGGTAGAGCAGCACCTTGCGGGCGAAGATGGAGGCGAGTTTGAGCAGGCGAGCACCCGTGGCGGCATTGAGGAAGTAGCCCGCTGTGAAGAACTCCTCCTGGGAGGGGGGAAGTGGGGGGGGAGGGAGGGGATGTGAGCACATGTGCGAGGAGGAAAGGACATATACATGTAGGGAGGCAGGTGGCACAGTGTGCAATAGCGATAGCAAGAACAACAGCAGCGGTAGCGGCAATGGCAAGCACAGCGCCCTGACCATGCGCGCCCTGCCATGCGCGCCCTGCCCTGCCATGCGCGCACCCCCCTGCCATGCGCGCACCCCCCTGCCATGCGCGCACCCCCCTGCCATGCGCGCATCCCCCTGCCAGGCTTGCACCCCCCTGCCAGGCTTGCACCCCCCTGCCAGGCTTGCACCCCCTGCCAGGCTTGCACCCCCCTGACCATATATTGGAGTGCGATGGCGGTGCTCTCAGGCGTGGCCTGGGCCATTGCTGCTTCCGCCATGTGCTGCCCACACATGCGCACGAGGGGTGGTCGGGGAACAGGAGATGAGCGCCAAGGGGCAAGGCGTGGGGGAGCAAGAAAGACTCGAGGGTGGAGAGGGTGCCTGGGAGTGAGGAGAGGAAGGAGCGACACCAACGTGAACACCTTTGCCACTATGAGGCCGAAAAGGCTCTCCTTAGAATCACATTCGTGACAATCGGTAGGGACCAGCCTGTAGCAGCGACAAGGAGAGTGATGACAAGCACGGTTATTGCCGTGGCATGCGTGCATGGCTGTCAGTGTCACCCCCACCCACCAGGAAGAGGCTCCTCCCCGGGTAGCCCCCGCTCGCCACAAACCCATCCCACACTGCCCTCGCCGCGTGCAGCTGCCCCGCACTGCCATACACCCTGTGGCGGAGGGAGAGGGGAGGAGGGGGAGATGGGGAGATGGGGGTAAGGGAGGGAAGGAAGGGGGGATTGTGGGAAGACGGACGAGGTATGCAGCGGGCAGAGTGGCAGGGAAGAGAATGGCAGCCGTGGTGCTGTCATGGTGCATGCCACCCACCTGATGAGCTGGCGGACCCACCTGATGAGCTGGCGGACCCACCTGATGAGCTGGCGGTGCATGTGTGCACTTGGTGTGACCCCGTCCTCCCTCGCTGCTGCCATCACCTGCTCCGCCCCCTGCATGGCATGGCATGGCATGGCATGGCATGGCATGGCATGGCATGGCAGGTCAAGGCATGGCATGGCATGGCATGGCATGGCATGGCATGTCAGGTCAAGGCATGGCATGGCATGGCATGGCATGGCAGGTCAAGGCCCCAGCACAGGCCACAGGCACGGCACAGCATGATCATACGAGGGAAGAGCAGCACGAGGAGATGAGGGTGAAGGGCGAGGGGAGTTCAACGTGAGGCACCGTGAGTGCCTGCTGCTGATGCTGCTGCCTGCCCTGCCTCTCCCCCCCCCACGCTCACCTGTGGGTCTCTGAAAGCCTGCATGGCCGCCAGCGCTGCCATGTAGTGCCGCAACGTGCCGCCCTGCACCGTGCCGCCCTGCACCGTGCCGCCCTGCACCGTGCCGCCCTGCACCGTGCCGCCCTGCACCGTGCCGCCCTGCATGGCTGCTGCTTCTGCTCTCGCCGCCCCGTCATCCCCCTCCTCTTCCCCACCCAATCCCCCCTCCCCTCCCCCTTCCCCTCCCCCCACATCCTCCCCCTGCCCTGGCGGCTCCTGAGAGGGCAGGGCGCGCGCCTCATTCAGCAGCGCCAGCACCTGGGGGGAGGGGGAGGGCGGGGGGCAGGCGAGGGGGAAGGGAATGGCATGGCGCAGTGAGGGAGAGGGAATGGTGGACGAGGGGGAAGGGCATTGGGGAGGGCGAGAAGGGAGGCAGAGGCACGAGCAGGGGGATGCGGCGTGGCAGGAGGCAGCGAGTGGCAGGAGGCAGCGAGTGGCAGGAGGCAGCGAGTGGCAGGAGGCAGCGAGTGGCAGGAGGCAGCGAGTGGCAGGAGGCAGCGAGTGGCAGGAGGCAGCGAGTGGCAGGAGGCAGCGAGTGGCAGGAGGCAGCGAGTGGCAGGAGGCAGCGAGTGGGCGGAAAGGGAGGTTGGGTTGGTGGCAGGGCAGGCACCTTGTGTTTGAAGTGCGGCAGTGCAGGCACCTTGTGTTTGAAGTGCGGCAGGGCAGGCACCTTGTGTTTGAAGTGCGGCAGGGCAGGCACCTTGTGTTTGAAGTGCGGCAGGGCAGGCACCTTGTGTTTGAAGTGCGGCAGGGCAGGCACCTTGTGCTTGAAGTGCGGCAGGGCAGGCACCTTGTGCTTGAAGTGCGGCAGGGCAGGCACCTTGTGCTTGAAGTGCGGCAGGGCAGGCACCTTGTGCTTGAAGTGCGGCAGGAGGGGGCGGTGGTTGGCGTGGGCGGTGATGAGTGCCGCCAGTGTGAGGCGCGTGCGCTGCATGCCCCCCGCCTCCATCTCCCGCACCACTGCCTCCCTGTGCCCTCACACAGGGGGATGGTGAGGACGCACAACGACCGGCACGCAGGGAGGTTGCCAGGCAGGGAGGATAGGAAATTTTGGAATTTTTGTGACGAATGGCAGGGGGTATGTGCTGTGCATGCCCATGCATGGTGCACCGAAGCAGGGCAGGGCACAACAGGGCAGGGAGGGCAGGGCACACGAGTGGCAGCAGCGGTGGCAGCGAGAGGAAGGGCGGGGAGGTGCTGGATGTGCGGTGGGCTGTGGTGTGGAGGGGTGGAGGGGTAGAGGGCTCACGCGAGGGTGATGCGGCCGGTGTTGGCGGCGGCATTGAGCAGTGCGGTGTATGTGCGCTGATGGAACTCCATGCCCGCCCTCCTCATGCCCTCCGCCACCTGCCATGCCATGCCATGCCATGCCATGCCATGCCATGCCATGCCATGCCATGCCATGCCATGCCATGCCATGCCATGCCATGCCATGCCATGCCATGCCATGCCATGCCATGCCATGCGGGGAAGCGAGGCTGATAACAGCGCCCATTCTTTGCATTTCACAGCAAGCAAGATGAGAAGAGAGGCAGTGGGTTGAAGTGCGGGTGGTACAGTGCAGGGGCGGGGAGGGGAGGCACCTTGAAGGCGTGGTCGACGTGCAGGCAGATGGCACACGCGCTGATCACCATGTTGTGCATCACCACCTGTGCATGCACGGGGCATGTGAGGGGTGTGGGTCATGGGGCATGGGGTGGGAGGGAGGGTGACGGGGGGAAAGGGTGATGGGGCACAAGCAAGGGGTGGGGGAGCAGCGCAGGGTGCAGGGGCGCGTAAAGGTGGCGGTACAGCGGATGCGCTCTGAACAGGGGGCGGGCAGCGCGGGTGCTTACGTCAGGCACGATGCCACGTGTCTTCATGTGATTGAAGAAGAAGAGCACGTCGTGCAGGCGCCCGGCCTTCATGGCGGCGGCAGTGGCGATGTGGAAGGAGGTGCGGTCGGGCGGCACGCCGTCCATCCCCATGTCAGCCCACACGTCCCGCAGCACGTGCGCCCTGCCACCCGTCAGTCATGCAGATGGTGCCACGTGGCAGGCATGCAGGTGGTTGTATCAAATTGGCAGGTGTTAGGTGGGCACGAAGGTGCGATGGCATGCCGTGCCATGCCAAGTAAGGGAGGCTCCTTATTCCTTCTGCACACCCTTCCGCACGCCCTCCCCATCCCCCCCTCCCACCCACCCCGTATCCCCCCGTCCGCGCCACCCGCGCACCTGTTAGTGTCCGCCAGGTGCTGCAGCACGTTGTTGTATCCGCGAACGCCGCGCGCATACACGCGCTCCTCCCACTCTGGCGCACGGGCCCGCGCCCATCTCGCCCCGCCGCCCTCTGCTTGGGCGCCCGGCATCCCACTGACCGCCGTCGACTCGCGCGCCGTCGACGTGGCTTCGTGCCAACTGTCGCCGGCGGCTGCTGACGTGGTACTGCCAGGTGGCACCGTCCCTTCCGGGGAAGAGGCGAATGCGGTCGCGGCGTGAACGAATCGGAGAGGCTGCGAGAAGGCGGAAAGAGGGTGCGCGGGGGGAGAAGTATGCGGGAGGGGTGCGCCATGCGCGGTGGCTTCATGAACGGAGAGGGTGGGCGGAGGCGTGGCGGGTGATCCGGAAAACAGTGCCGTGTGGATCGTGCGATCGGCGGAGGGGGAGCACGCGGAGGGAGGCGGCAGCGGCGATGGAACGGCGGAGGCTGGCGACGGCACTGGGTTGGGCAATCCGCGCACTCGGCGGAGTGTGAGGGGGAGAAGGCGGCGGGCAGCCATGACCTCGAGAATGTCCGCTGATTATCGCCTTCGATAATGGATCGCATTAGATAACTTTTGAAGGAGTCAGAAAGCGGAATTTCACCTTTACTTTACATTTCATTGCACTGTACTACAAATTCGTTTCAGCGTCGTAAAGAGTCTGACTGTAGCCCGAGTTTCGATTTCCGCTGCCCTTGTCTTGTCCGTGGTGGTGCACGCACGCTGGAACTTGGGCGTTCAGCGACGCTGATTGGTTTGCTGATTTCTTGTCCGACGTGTAGAGGCAAATGAGGTGTGCCATCGGCCACGTCAACATGGCTCGCGGTCCAATCTCGGGATAATTTCTCTGCTGTCCCTCGAGAAGGTCCTGCCCTGCCACCCTCGATACTGTCGCAACGGAACACTCGCACTCGTCTCGTCTCATCACTGTCTGCTCTACTGATTAGGGCACAGCACACTGTCGTTTGCTGATCACCGCATTGCAAGCAGAAGTCTCTAGTCTCGGCGACCACGGCTTGACGAATTCGCAATCCGCAGCTGCCATGCTGCTGCATCACGTGCGTCAACTGGTGCGTCGCTGACCGTCGTACCTCCCTGCCCGCCATGCCTCCGCTCGCCCAGGAATCGGCGCGCTTCAAGAGACCGCCTCGCGATGCGTCCCTGCCGCAGCCGTCGCGTCCGTCGCTGCCGGACGGCTTCGAGTCGGACGACGGCGCGAGGAGCGACGGCGGCGCGAGAAGCGACGTCGACGCGTGGAGCGACAGCGACGTGAGGAGCGACGACGAGCGGTGGGCGGAGGGCCTGCTGGACATCAGCAGCGCGGCGGACGACGCATCGCCACCCGCCTCGGTCTCCGCCGCCAGCCAATCCGCCAAGGTTCGCCGCAAATCTCCCCATTGCCTATGCCCCCAATTCCCCCATCACACCTTCACACACTCGTGCGTCCGCCCGCCCTAGCTAGCTCGCACTGGCCTCGCTGATCCAAGGTCCTGTATCCCCCATTCTCCCCCTTCCCCCTTCTGTTTGCTATTTTCGCCAGTTCCGCTGCCTGCAGTGCGGCAGCTCCGCGCATCCTTCGTGGCTCTGCGATGCCCCTCCGCCAGCCGCTCGCTGCGCGCACTGCTCCGCCAAGGAGAAGGGTAAGCGCCCCCTGCCATGCTCGGACGTCGCCACCGCTCTGAACCGCATCACGTCGTGTCGTCCGACGGCGGACGTCGCCGGCATGCACGCTGCGATCGACGATTTGCAGCGCGCCGGCCATCGCCCGCCTCTGGAGGCGTTTTCGCAGGTAATTGCGGCGCATGCCACGCTGGGGGAGCCGGAGAAGGCGGAAGCGGTGTTGGCGGAGATGGAAGCGGCGGGGGTGGCGGCGGACCCGGTGTGCTACAACGCCGTGGTGAACGCCTTCTGCTCCCGCGCGCGCGTGGACGAGGCGCTCACTGTGCTGCGGCGCATGCGGTTCAACGGGTGGGAGCCGACGGCCAGCACGTACAACACGCTCATCAAAGGCTTCGGCGCCGCCAAGCGCCCGGAAGACGCGGCGAAAGTCGCGGAGATGATGGTGGGACGCGCAGGAGCAGCGGCAGGGCGGCGCAAGGGCGCGCGGAGCTGGACGCGGGAGAAGCAGCGGGGGACGGGGAGGGGCGGGGGGGAGGGGAAGGGCGGCGAGTTACGGACGTACAACATGCTGCTGAACGCGTGGTGCGAGCGCGGCGACGTGGAGCAGGCGCGCGCAGTGCTGCGCGAGATGCGCGCAGCGGGCGTGGCGCCGGACGCGGTGTCGTACAACACGCTGATGAAGGCGTATGGGCGGCTGGGGCGCCCCAACGACTGCGAGCGCGTGCTGCGCGAAATGGTGAACGCGCTCGTGCGCCCCAACGCGCGCACGTTCGGCATGATGGTGCGCGCGCTGTGCGACGTGGGGCGCATGGCGGACGCGGAGGTGGTGGCGGAGCGCATGCGCGAGTGGGACGTGGCGCCGAACGCGACTATCTTCAACACCATCGTGAAGGGTTACTGCCAGGCCGGCCAGCCGCTCCCCGCCGCGCAGGTGAGCTCCGTGCCGTGGTAGTGAATTGGGAGAGCGAGGAGACAGCTCCGAGGGGCGGGTGACAGCAGGTGAGGGTGGGAGAATTGGGAGGGGAAGAAGTCTGCAGAGGTGGTTGGCGGAAAGGCAGTAGGGCATGATGAGATGGAACGGGCGTGAGGAAAGCAATTGGCGTGAGGAGAAGGAATAAGTGAGGGTCGGATATGTCCCATGCGCGAATGATTTGCCATAGACGGGCGAAGAGCAGAAGGAACGTGCGGAGAGAAAAAGGGAGAGGCGGGAGAAGGAGGATCGAGCAGAGAGAGAAAAACCGAGAGGCGGGAGAGGGAGGGTCGAGCAGAGAGTGAAAAAGGGAGAGGCGGGGGAAAGAAGGAACGAGCAATGAGACGAAGGAACAGATATGTGCTAAACTGAAGCACGAATCTCAGATCGCGCAGCATCCCGAGCGCTGTGAGCTGCGGGCCTTGCCACTCCTCACTTCCGCCCATGTTCCCGGCACGCACAGCGCCCCACTCACCACCATTCCCCGCCTTTCTCCCCACTCACCACCGTCCCCCGCACAACCCCCCCACGGCGCTGGGCCTGGCAGGTGCTGCAGAAGATGCGGGTGGCGGGCGTGCCCCCCGACCTGGCGTCGTACTGCACGCTCATGAACGCCTGGAGCACCGCCGCGCGCCCCGACCGCGCGCGCGCCGTGCTGCAGGACGCCATGGCGGCGGGGCTGGCGCCGGACGTGGAGGCGTTCTCCGTGCTCGCCAAGGGGTACCTGCGCGCAAGGCAGGGGGACGCGGCGGAACGTCTCCTGGACGAGATGCGCGCGCAGCACGGGGTGGCGCCGAACGTGGTGACGTACACGACGGTGATGGGCGCGTACTGTAGCATGGGCGCGCGCATGGACTCCGCCATGGCTGTGTACGAGCGCATGGTGGGCGCGGGCGTGCGCCCCAACGCGTTCACGTTCCGCACGCTCATCTGGGGCTTCTGTGAGGCGCGCCTGCCCCACCGCGCGGAGGCCGTGCTGCGCCTGATGGAGGCGGAGGGGGGGGCGGTGGACGCGCGGTGCTACGAGCAGACGAGCCTGGCGTGGCAGTCCGTGGGGCTGTGGCGCGACGCCCAGCGCATTGCTGCTGAGAAGCGCGACAAGTGTGGCGCGCAGGGCGGAGGGGCGCGGAAGCTGAGCAAGCGCGAGGAGAGGGGGAAGCGGGTGCGGGCGGAAGAGGGTGGGACAGGGGGAGATAGGATCAGAGGGGCGGGGGGAGGGAGCAGGGCGGGCGGGGGAGATGGCAGTGCAGGGCAGACTGGCAGTGTGGGGCAGACTGGCAATGGGGCGAGCCATGGCAGCAGCAGTAGTGAGAGCAGTAGAAGTAGTGACGAGAGTGATGGTCAGGACAGCAGTGGTGATGGTGAGAGCAGCAGCGGTGATGGTGAGAGGATTAGTATGGAGAGCAACAGCAGGGTTGAGGGTGCAGAGCAGGGGGGCGAGGGCAGCAGCCCTGCAGCAGCACAGGAGGCAGAGGCAGAGGGGAAGGCGGCAGTGAGGGCGAGAAAGGGTGATAGGGGGGGCAGGGCGGAGGTTGGATCAGGGGTGGTGAATGGCAGGGACGCAAAGGGGGCGAGAGGCAGTGTGAGGGGTAGTGGGAGGGGCAGCGGGACTCGCATATGGCAAAGACCACAGTCCCTCCCTGTGCCACAACGGGAGGTGGCAACTGGTGCAGGTGCCACCAAGTCAGAGGGCCAGAGGTCCCCTTCAGCCGCCCTGCTGCCGTGTGCTGTTGCTGCCACCCATGCTCCACCCCTGCCACACCACCGCCACCATCCCTGGCAGCACGCCCCCCCACCCCATGCCCACCCCTGTGCTCTCAGCTGGCGTGCAGCCCTCGCATCTCACCGCACCCTCTCCCTCCCCTACTCACTCTCCCTCACCACACCCCTCACCCTTCCCTCTGCCACGGCTGCTCGCTCCCAGCATGCCATGCGCGCCCCCCCCTCGGGTGCACGCATGCGTGCACCACTGCGGCACCTGTGCTGCACTGCCTGCGCTGTGAACCGGCCCCTCTGTGTGGCCATCCTGTCTCTGCGCCCAGCGACGCCCCTGCTGCATGCTCTGAAGCCCCGTGCCTCACACCCATGCTCCGCCTCTCATGGTCCCAGACCATTCGCATGGATGGGTAGCAGGCGAGCAGCGGGGGCGGGCCCAGCACCCACAGGGATGCACATGGGAGTGCTGTCACGGATGGGGCAAGTGAGAGCACTTGCCGTTATTATTTGATTGCCCTAGTGTCAACTAGGATCGTGATTCCGCCTTTGCAAGTCTTAGGTATTCTAGTTGAATTTGAATGACTGGAAATGCTTCTCTGTTATGGATGTCAAGGGAAATGCTTTGCTCTGTTAGGCACCTCTTCAAACCGCACTGGACAACTGAATCCCTCGTGTGGATGAAAGCAAATCGAGGGACCAACGCAGCACCCATCAACTGCACCACACAAGCACACCACCACGCGCCTGCAGACTGCATTCGATCCACCTTCCTCTTCTCTCCGCACCCACACCATCCCTCCGACGTGTGCTCGCCCGCAAGCTCACCGCCCTCGGGTCCCGCTCGGCCTTCCGCGCCCATGTCGGCCTCCGCCCGCCTGCGCGCATGTGCAGTTGGGAGGGGCGAGGCTTTAGGGGATGCTGGCGCTGGCGCGCGGAACAGCAACCAGGAGTCCGCCATTCGGCGCTTGAAATGGCTATCCGCGGATGATGGACGCCTGCGCGGAAAGCTGAGTGCCGCGGGTATGCCCCGCCGCTCACTGCTCTCCCCCAAGCGCCAAACGCTGCGCCCCGGAATGCCGCTCAGCGGACCTCCGCCGATCGCTCTCCGCGGCACCAGCAGCCAACGCCAAGGGCGCGCGCCCCCCGTGGTGGCACTAGCAGGTGGGAGGCGGAAGGAGGCGGAATGACGCGATGGGTGGGGGGAGGGGAAGGAGAGATTTGAGGCGAGGGTGATCTGCGGTTGAGAGGGGGAGAGACGAGGGGGGAGGAGAGGTAGCGCGCGCAACGGGCGCTTGCAATGGCGGAAAGGGAGATGAGGAAGAAAGGGTGCCCCGCGCATGCCCCCATGCCTTTCTCGTCCAAACCCCCAACCCCCAAATCTCCACCCAAACCCCCCAAACCCCTAACCCCTTCCCCCAGGCAGCAAGTGGCGGCGCAGCGACCAGCCCCCCGTGCGGCTTCCGCCCGTGCTGAGCCCGTCCGCGTCCGCGCTGCTGCGCCAGCTGCGCCAGCAGAAGCTGCGCCGACAAAGATGGGCGGCGCTGGAGGCGGCTAGCGCGGGGGGAGGGGGAGGCGGAGGGCGGAAGGGCGCGGAGGAGGACGTGGCGGCGGTGCTGCGCGAGCTGCGGCGCAGGGAGGAGTGGCACGTGGTGGCGCATGTAAGCCGGCATGTGGTGGTGACCCTAGCCGTCCATCTCCCCGTTTCTTCTGTCAACTGTCCCCCGCACACGCCGCCGCCCCACCCCTCCACCCGCTCCACCTCTCTTGCCTTCCACCAAAAGCATGCCCCCCATCCCCTTCCCTTTTTGTAACCTCTCTCTCCTCACTTCTCCCCTCCCCTTCCCACAGGTGTACGAGTGGGTGGTGGCGCGAGAGGGGTGGCGCGCGGACGTGTCGGGGTACAACCTGCTCATGGACGCGTACGCGCGCTCAGGCGCCGCCCCCACTGCTGCGCGCGTCTTCCGCCTCATGCAGCAGGGGCGCGTGCGCTTCTCCCTCCCACAGACGCGCGGACGGGAGAGGGGGGCGGGGGGAAGGGAGAGAGATGCAGGGGAGGAAGGAGAGGGAGCAAGGGGAAGAGAGGGTAGAGGGTCGCGGGGAAAGGGGAGAGAGGAGGAGGATGAAGGGGAGGAATGGGAGGAAGAGGAGGAGGGGGGAAAGGTGGAGGGGGAGGAGGAGGTGGAGATGTGGGTGGAGGAGGGAGTGGGCGTGTGTGTGCCCAGTGAGGCGTCATTCAACGTGGTGCTGGGCGGGCTGTGTCGTCAGGGCCTGCTGCCGCCCGCTGAAGAGCTCTTCCAAGAGATGCTTCACCGCGGCTACCGCCCCAGTGAGTGCTACCGCCCCAGTGAGTGCTGCCGCCCCAGTGAGTGCTGCCGCCCCAGTGAGTGCTGCCGCCCCAGTGAGTGCTGCCGCCCCAGTGAGTGCTGCCGCCCCAGTGAGTGCTGCCGCCCCAGTGAGTGCTGCCGCCCCAGTGAGTGCTGCCGCCCCAGTGAGTGCTGCCGCCCCAGTGAGTGCTGCCGCCCCAGTGAGTGCTGCCGCCCCAGTGAGTGCTGCCGCCCCAGTGAGTGCTGCCGCCCCAGTGAGTGCTGCCGCCCCAGTGAGTGCTGCCGCCCCAGTGAGTGCTGCCGCCCCAGTGAGTGCTGCCGCCCCAGTGAGTGCTGCCGCCCCAGTGAGTGCTGCCGCCCCAGTGAGTGCTGCCGCCCCAGTGAGTGCTGCCGCCCCAGTGAGTGCTGCCGCCCCAGTGAGTGCTGCCGCCCCAGTGAGTGCTGCCGCCCCAGTGAGTGCTGCCGCCCCAGTGAGTGCTGCCGTCGCCGCAATGAGTGGGTGGGCGGCGAAATGCAGTTCCCGTGTTTGACGGGAAGCGGGAGCAGCCAGGCTAGTGGCGGGCAGTACAGCAGTGCTCAATCAGCCATGCCACCCCCCCTCCCTCCCTCCCCACCCCCCCTGTTCTCATCATCAATGCTCTCCTCATCGCCTGTCCTGCCCTCTGTCTGCCCCCTCTGCACCCCCTGCCCCCTGCGCCCTGTCCCCCCCCAGGTCTGGTGACGTACAACACGATGCTGGAGGTGAGGGGGAGGGCGGCGGACGTGGAGGGCGCGGAGGGGCTCATGCGCACCATGCGGGGGGAGGGCGTGCGCCCCACTGCCGCCTCCTATGCGCTGCTCATGCATGCCTATGGCAAGGTGAGGTGACGCCCTGTGGCAAATTGGTGGCGCCGGTGGGTGACTCCTGTGGCAAGGTGACGTGAGCACCGCATGCCTGTGGCTCGCTGTTTCCCAGCTGCTCGCCCCCTCGCTTCCTCTGCCACCCACGCCAATCTCACCCTCTCACTCTCCTCTTGTCTCCCTCTCCCCGCCTCCCTCCCAGGCGGGCCTGCCCCAGCGGGCGGAGGAGGTGTTTGCAGGGCTGCACGGGGCGGCAGTGCTGCCCACAGTGCCATGCTTCACGGCGCTGATAGCGGCGCATGCACGCGTGGGGCAGTGGCGGGAGGCACAGCGCGCGTACGACAGCATCGCACTCATGGGTCTGCGCCCCGACCTGCATGCCACCACCGCCCTCCTGCACGCCCTCTGGTGAGACACACTACGAGCAGCGTGAGGACGCTCAGCCTCATGCTGTAGCGCGACCCTTTGATTGCTGGGCTGCTGGGCTGCTGGGCTGCGGCAGCAGCAGGCAGGCGGGCGGAGGGCGTGGCGACCTGCGCCACAGAGAAGGTGTGAGGGTTGACATGTGTGAGGGTTGACATGTGTGAGGGTTGACATGTGTGAGGGTTGACATGTGTGAGGGTTGACATGTGTGAGGGTTGACATGTGTGAGGGTTGACATGTGTGAGGGTTGACATGTGTGAGGGTTGACATGTGTGAGGGTTGACATGTGTGAGGGTTGACATGTGTGAGGGTTGACATGTGTGAGGGTTGACATGTGTGCGGGTTGACATGTGTGAGGGTTGACATGTGTGAGGGTTGACATGTGTGCGGGTTGACATGTGTGAGGGTTGACATGTGTGAGGGTTGACATGTGTGAGGGTTGACATGTGTGCGGGTTGACATGTGTGAGGGTTGACATGTGTGAGGGTTGACATGTGTGAGGGTTGACATGTGTGCGGGTTGACATGTGTGAGGGTTGACATGTGTGCACGAGACACTCCCTCACTCCCCTCGCCCTCTCCACGCGGCCCACAACAGCCTCTTCCCCTCACCCCATTCCTCCGCCATGCCCTTCACCCTCTCCCCTCCCTCCCCTCCCCCCTTCCCCCCCTCCCCCAACGCCACCCCCCAGCACGGCGGGCGAGGTGGCGCGAGCACGGGGCGTGGTGGAGGCCATGCAGCGCACCACCGGTGCCGCCCCTCCGCCCTCCTGTGTCACCCCGCTGCTGGCCGCCCTGGCACGGCAGGGACTGTGGACAGGTGAGAGGGGGAGGAAGGAGACGATTGGGGTGGGGATTGTTGTGGGGGTGGGGGGAGGGGAATGATGTGACAGGGAGAGGAACCACAGGGGGGGAGGGGGAAGGGGGTCAGTATGGTGCTGTGCGTGCAGCAGCAGGGAGTGCTTTGTGCATGCATGAGGGTTCAGAGAAACTCATGCAACAAATTTTCTCTCACACACATGAAACGGCTGCACTCATCCCTCTGTCAGCCCCCATATCACCTGCCTTTGGTCACACCCACTTCACCCCTCGTCTCCTCTTTTCCACCTTCCCCCATTCCCCCACTTCCCACCCCCTCCTTCAGAGGCGGAGGAGGTGTATGCATCGCTAGCACCAGCAGGCACACCCCCCCCGGTGCGGTGGCAGCACGAGCTGCTGCGCGCCTACGAGCGGGCAGGCCTGCCAGACAAGGTGCAGGCACACCTGACGCTGCTGCGCGGGTGGAAAGGGGGCGATGGGGCGCGCAGCCAGGAGGGGGAGGGGAGGGACGATGCAGGGGACGAGGGGAGACGTGGGAGAGGAAGGGGAAAGGGCGGCGAGGGGAAGACGGGGGGACGGGTGGACAGGACAATGCTGAACTGTCTGGCGGGGGCACATGGGCACACGGGGGACAGGGCAGGCATGCAGCGAGTGCTGGCACGCATGCATGGGGGCGAGGGGGCGGCATGGCATGTGACCTCATACAACACCGTGCTCGCTGTGCTCGTGCACGCCGCTGACATGGCGGGCGCTGAGAGGCTCATGGATGACATGCGGGCGGGCGGCGTGGCCCCTGATGCCGCCACGTGGACCACCCTCATGGGCGGGTACGCGGAGAAGAAGCTTTTGAGAAAGTGCATGAGCGTGTTTAGGAAGATGGTGGCAGCGGGGGTGCGTTGGGATGCGGGGGCGGTGCGAGTGATGCTGGTGGCGTGCCGCAGTGGCGAGCAGCAGGAGGAGGTGAGGCAGCTCGTGGAGAGTGTGGTTAGGAAGAGGACCAAGCGCTCCATGGCCTCGTGATCGCCTTTCAGAACCACGGGATGAAGCACGTGAACGATTACCATTTCATTAGCGGTTCCGCTTGTACTTATGCACTATATAAGAGATGATTGTATGTGTCCTAGAAAAGAGATTGTGGTTCCTATAAACAACTTGTCCTCGTAACAGAGTGCACTATAGTGCTGATATCAATCTCACAGAGCCTTTGCCTTTTCCTCCGCGTCATCTTTGGTAGCATGGCGGACTTGCTTTCGCCTCCCGCCGTCGCCATCGCCATCCGCCTCGCCTCGCCTGTCCGCCGCTCGCCCTCTCCTCCCACTCGCCCCTTTCCACCGGCCCTCACCCCCGCCCTCCGCATTAGCTTCCCCCGGCCCCGTCTTCGTCGTCCGCCGTTCCCAATCCGCTTGCGCCCGCCACGCGCGGCCCGCGCATTCCCTCGCCCGCCCGCCGCTCTTCCCGCTGATTCCGTCCCTTCCACCGCCGCTCCGCCCTCGACACCTCAAGCCCCGCGCGAATGGGGGAAGCTGTGGGCGCAACTGGCGCGGAAGTGGGCCATGCGGGGGCGGCGGTGGCGGTGGGGCGTGCTGGACGGGTACCTCGCGCGCAGCATGGCGCGCCCCTTCGCGGTGGCGGCGGGCGTGGCGGCGAGCGTGGGCGTGGCGCTGGGGTCGCTGGCGGAGGTGGCGCGCGTGGCGGCCAACACGGGCGCGCCGCTCCGCCTGGCGCTGCTAGTCGCGCTGCACCATCTCCCGCGCTTCCTCGCGCTCGCGCTTCCCCCCGCCTGCCTCGCCGCCTCCCTCTTCGCCTTCTCCCACCTCCTGGTGCGCCCCCCGCCCCTTTGCGCCCACACAATTCCCTCCCCCACTTGCGCCCACATACGCGCCTACCCCTTGCATCCGCATCCCTACCCCTCCCCCTGCAGCGTCGCTCGCAGGTGGCGCGGGGCTGAGTCCCTCAATTGCAACCCACCTTGTCGCCCTCTCTGCCCCTCTTCCTGTCTGCCCTCCAAATTCCCCCGGACTGCCCCCCGATGTCCCCCGAGTGGCGCAGAGCGAGCTGGCGGGCATGGTGGCGGGGGGGGTGGCGTGGGGCAGGCTGCTGCGCGCGCCAGTGTGTGTGGGCGTGGGGGCAGGCGTGCTCATGCTCGCATGCCATGAGCACGTGGTGCCATGGGCCATGGGCAGGTAACTCCACTCTGCCATAGCATGCCATGCCATGTCTGCAGTGCTGCATTTTGTCCATGGCATCAACCTTTGCTCTTGGGCTCACTATGCTTTGTGCATGGCATGGCATGGCAGGGCGCAGCGCATGGTGGAGGCGGCAGTGACATCGGACATGGCATCGCTGCCATCCCAGCAGCACGTCTTGCTGCGAGAATATGGTGCGCATGTATGTGATGGGGGGGGGGGCATGGTGCGCATGTGCATATATGTACTACCAAGTGGTGCCATGCCATGCAGTGTCATGTGTTGCCATGCGGTGCAATGCAGTGCCATGCATGCCATGTAAGGTGGTACTACCAATGACCGTGCACCCTCACCACCTCACCCCAACCCTGCACCCCACTCACTCATCGCCTGCCTGCTCACCCTCCCCTCTCCCCTCCTCTCTCCATTCACCTCCACGCCACCCCTCTCCCCCCACCAGGCACAGCACCACCATGACCCCCTCGCACTCCTCCTCGCCCATCTTCACCCCTCCTCCTCACCACACACCACCATCGCCTCTCCTTTCGCCGGCAGTGCAGGGGGGGCAGTGGCAGCAGCGGGCAAGGGGGGCGAGGGAATGGGGGGAGGGGGGGCGGGGCTGTGGCGGGTGTGGTATGCGGGGGAGGTGGGGGGTGGCACCATGCGGCGTGTCATGCTGCTGCACCTCGCGCCTCAGGGGCACGTGCAGGCGGTGAGTCCTCCTTCCCTCTTCCCCTGCTTGTCTCTCTGTCTCTCCGCGCACGAGTTGGCATGGAGATGAGCGGATCACAAGTCCGGCTATGTGTCAGCGCCTGCCCTGTGTGATGTGTGCTCTGAGCAGGTGGTGGCAGCGGAGCGGTGTGAGTGGCAGCCACACTCGCGCACGTGGCGCCTCCTCAACTGCTGCCTGCTGCCCCTCGCCTCACCCGCCTGCCTGCCACCCACCACCCACACCATGGCACCACCATCGCCCCAGCCACCTGCTGAACTGCTCTCCATCACACCAGCCTCACACAGCGCCGCTACAGCACTACCCTCCTTCTCCCTGCTGCAGGTGCTGCCCTCTCTGCCTCTCTCATCTGCCTCTCAGCCTCACTCACCTTCGACCTCATGTGTGCTCTCATACCTTTACCATCCGTACCTTGTTCAGCAGTGTGTACTCCTCACACCTATGTGTCATCAAATCCTGCCTGCTGTGTTGCTCTCTTTCCACAAAGCCAAGTACTGAATACTTCCACATGCTGCTGCTCTCGGCTGTACGATTCCTGGTTCGTATCAGATACCTGTAGAATTCGGCTAGAGACCGCTTTCAGACCTGCTTCGTCTTGCACCCTTGTGACCCCTACCCCACTGCCCCTACCCCTTCCCCCCACCCCCTACCCCCACTTCCCCCCCCCTCAGCTGGAGTCACTGGACGTGCCACTCGCCTCTGCGCTGCCCTCCTCCTCGCCCCTCGCCTCCCACGCCGCCCTGCCATCCGCCTGTCTCCCCCGCCACCTCCTCACAGCGCGCACCAGGCACCTGCGCGCGCAGCTCGCATGGCTGCAGCGCCAGGCACCCCGCAAGGGGCCGAGGTGGGGGGGAAGGGATGAGCGGGCGGTGGCGGAGCAGCGGCGGCGGGTGGGGGAGCAGCGCAGGAGGGTGGCGGAGGCGGAGAGTGACTTGGTGCTGCGCGATGCCAGCTGTGCCTCCTGTGTGGCGTATGCTGTGGTGAGCCGTGCAGGGTGGGAGGGGCATGCATGTGTGGTGGTGAGCCGTGCATGGTGCAATCGTGCATGCATGACAGTAGTCCATGGTCCACTCCTCTCCATCTCTCGCTCATCTCTCCATCTCATCCCCACCCCTCGTCCTCACCGCACGCCTCTCTCCACTACAACACCTGTATCCCTCTCCCCACAGCTGGGGGCGGTGGCAGTGCTGGTGACAGCGGCCCCTGCCAGCAGGAGGGTCAGCGGCGTGGGGGGCCAGCGCACGGCCAGCAGAGGGGCGCCCTTCCAGCTGGCGCTGCCCCTTGCTGCCGCCTTCCACCTGCTCTCCGCCACCCTCGCTGCTGCTGCCCGCTCCGCCGTCCTGCCCCCCTTCATCGCTGCGTACCTGCCCCTCCTGCTCGTGCTGCTGCTGCCCCCGGTGCTGCTGGGCTCGCAGGGGGGCAGCGTGGAGACAGAGGCAGGGGTGAGGGTGGGAGTGAATAACACGGAGGGAATAGGAGATGTGAAGAAGGTATCGTGAGGCGTGCAGGTGGCTGTAAGCAAGATTAGGACATGATGGAGGGGTGCAAGCAAGCATCTACCTGTAATACTCGTAGCAAGCAGTGCCAGGAACTCTCGTGTGGAGAGCATGGTACGGTACTCATCGTTCACACACACATGGACCGTCACAATAAATATAAGCCCTGTACATATCACATCTTATTAGCACAATGAATAATTACAGAGAGTGCCTAGTGGCCTAAGCCACATCACCGAATACTGCTCCAGGTGTGCACAGCAGCATGGTTTGGCCACCAGGGTTGAGGCCACGTGTCAGTGAGCCCGTGTGGGGTGAGTCAGGTCAGACGGGCTCAGGGTCTGCAAGGCCGCGGCAGAAGCCCCCATCATGGCAGGAGGCGGTGCGGAGAGCGATACGGAGGTGCATGATGTGGTGGGAGAAGGTGGAGCCCGGTGTGGCGAGGAACAGGCGGCTCAGGGCGCACACCACCTTCTCCACTGCCGCCACCGCCATCGGGTCCCCTGCCAGCCCCTCCCTGTTCAGCCTCTCCGCCCACATCTTGCCCTCCAGGCTCGGCAACCGAACCACCACCACTGCCTCGGGTGAATCCAGGCCAGCTAGCGAGGCTGGTGTGGGCGAGGTCAAGCTGCTGGCAGTGCTGGCAGAGGCAGAGGCAGAGGCAGAGGCAGAGGCAGTGGTGGTGTTCATGTGTGGCAGCAGGGGCACGCCTTGCAGGGCGGAGAGGAACACAGCAAGGTCCGAGTCCGATGTGTCTGACGCCAGGAACAGCAATGGCCGCCCGGGAAACGCGCCCATGGCCCCTCGCCCTGCCCACACCGCCCCTCCCGCGTGCCGTGCATGCTGGGCACTGGCGGCATCAAACGGCCCCCCCAGCAGCTTCTCCCGCACGCACTCGCCCGCCTGCCGCTGCGCCCAGTACGGGCAATTGCCCTGCCCCACGCAGTGCCGGAACATGTCGTCTCGCCTCAGGTGCAGCGCTGCAAACGCCCCTCCACTCACCTCGCGCACGAACCCCTCTGCTGCCTGCACCACCGCGTCACACGGCCACACCAGCGACCGGCACCGCTGCTCCATGCCAATACCTGCCGCCCCTAACTGCGACCCCCCTCCGCCTCCCAGCCCCCCGACTGCATCGCGTGCGCCCGCGACGGCAGGGGACGGCGCGGGGGAGGGCATGGCCCAGGCGGTGGCGAGGCTGGAGGTGAAGCCGGGCGGCGGGTCGAGGAAGCGCGCGTGCGACTCGTACACGTCGCCCAGGCACAGCACGCGACCTCCCGCGCCGCCGTACGCGTCCGTGAAGGTGCGGCGCGTCACGTTCGCCTCCAGCCCCGCCTGGCGCCGCGACGTGAAGCGGATGGCGGGGTGGGACGGGCGGCCGCGCTGGAAGGCGCAGCGGTCCGCCCAGCACACGAAGCGGTCGACGTCGAGGCGCGTGGCGTTGGCGACGCGCAGGTAGTCGCGCAGCGAGACGGCGACGCGGCGGCCGAGGCAGGCGTTGAGGTGCGACGCGTTGAAGACAACATCGAGGCTGAGTGGCGCGTCGAGGGGCGAGTTCCAGCGGCGCGCGGGGCGGTAGAGGTCCTCCGCGGGCACGATGAGCGTGCGGCGCAGCAGCGTGGCGGCCAGGATGTAGTTGCGCACACACAGCAGGCGGTTCGTCATCCGCCCGTACACACACGCCGCCAGCAGATACGAGTCCTCCTGTGGCCGCCACTCCAGCTTCTCCGCCTCCGCCACCGCCTGCTCGCGCGGCACTGACTCCCCTCCCCCGCACCCCTCATGCTGCGTACCCACGAAATCCCCTCCCCCCAGCTCCGCCTTCCCCTGTTCTCCACCCCCCACGCCTAGGCCTCCTCTCCCTGTTTGCTGCGCCACCTTCACGCCGCGCTGCCCCGTGAGTCGCGTCAGCTGCCGCCAGTACCGCCGCAGCAGCGCCTGCTGCCGCGCCAACACCGCCTCCTGCGCCGCCACCACCTCTTCCGCCCGCCCCTCCTCGCCCGCCCGCTTCAGCTCCGCCAACGCTGCCGCGAGATGCGCCTCGTGCGGGGCGTCATCCGCGGGGCTCGATTGCGGCGCAAAGAGGAACCCGCCACGGTGGGGATCGCGGAGCAGCAGCAGCGCGCCGATTACCGCGGCGAGCAGGAAGAGAAGCGCGGGGCGGACGCAACCCAGGGACTGCGTGAGGCGCGCAGCGGTGGCCTTATCGACCGCGAACGACGCGAAAGTTTGTCGCACGGACGATCGACGACTGCTGAGCGACGGAGATGGCGATTGCGCGACGGCAGGAAGAAAGGGGGTCTGACGAATGGCCATGCAGGGCGATGGGAGAGCGGGGCGAGGTGCGGCGATGGAGGTGATGCGACGAGACAGTAGTGTCTTGTGGAGCACCAGTCGCACTGTGGAGTGCAGGGTGCAATCTGTGTCCTTGTTTGTGATTCACGCACTGTACAACTACGCCCCTCCAATTTGTTGTCGAATTTTACCATAACGGATTATGTGTTCACATGAATCGCCATTTCCGGCCCCCCTCCGCGCTCCCCCACTTTCAGGGTGTGCTTTCTTTACAACAGCGCAGAAAGGAACCCCCGTTCTGTCACTTAGTCAAATTACCGCTCGTCGTGCGACAGTCCTTCGCCACTGTACCGCCATCGCAGCGCCATGCGTCGCGAGCGTCGCATCGAGCCGACGTCGTTCGACGCGATCGTCGTCGGCACGGGCCTGCCCGAGTCGCTGCTGGCGGCGGCGCTGTCTCTGGCGGGGCGGCGCGTGCTGCACGTGGACTGCGCCGCCTTCTACGGTTCGCACTGGGCGTCGCTGCCGCTCGACCAGCTCGCGCAGTGGGCGGCGAGCGGCGGGCGCATTCCGCCTCCGGGGGAGAACGAGGACGCGCAGACCAACGGGTTTGCGGACGACGACGATGAGCGCGGGGAGGATGCGCGGAGAGCCGCTGAGGAAAGCGCGGAAGGGGACGGTGGAATGCTGAGCGGTGACGAGGGGACAGGCCGGAGAGACGGGGAGGGGGGTGCGGAGGAGAGGCAGGAGGGGGATAGCGAAGGCGTGGGCGCAACTGAAGATGGCGCGCGCGCAGGTGGGGAATCAGGCGCGGGTGTGAGTGGGGGGGCAGATGCAGTCGCAGGGGCGGGCGAGGTGTCACTGGAGGAGCGCGTGCGGGCGGGGGAGGTGAGGGCGGTGGCGCTGGGGTCGTCGGAGGACGGCGCGCTCTACTCGCGCGTGTCCACCGCCACGTGGCTGCCACGCGCCTCCCACGAGCCCTTCCACCCGGCGCGCCTGCCGGTGGAGCTGGGCGAGGCGCGGCGCTACGCGGTGGATCTGGCGGGGCCGCGCGTGGTGATGTGCGGCGAGGACGCGGTGCGCGTGCTGGTGCGCAGCGGCGCGCACCACTACGTGGAGTTCAAGGCCGTGCACGCGCTGCTCTGCTGGCAGCGGGGGGGGGACGGGAAGGGGCGCGGGGAGAGTGGCGCGCAGGGGCAGGGCGGTGGGGGGGAAGGGGGGCTGGTGCGGGTGCCGACGAGTCGGGGGGACGTGTTTCAGGACCGGCAGCTGCCCCTGGCGGACAAGCGCCGCCTCATGCGCTTCTTCCACTCCGCCTCCCCCCTCTCCGCCCCCCCTGGCCCCCCTGCCCCCGCTGCTGCCACTGCTGGTGGCGGCGTTGAGGCGAGGGAAGGCGGGAACGATGCAAGTGGGCAGGTGGGGGCGGGGGGGAAGGAGGAAGGGAAGGCGGCGAGCGGCAGCGAGGCGGAGGGGGAGGGGGAGGGGACGTTTACGGCGCTGCTGGAGGCACACGGGCTGCCAGCACGCGTGCAAGAGTGAGATGCAGCACCTCCGCATGCAGCCCATGGCCCTCTGGTCCGTGCTGCGTGCCCCTGCCCCTGCTCTCACCCACCCACGCCACGCCACCTGTGTGCTCTGGTCGTGTCTCCTCCATCCACCACCGCCCTCTCCTCCATGATTCTATCCGCCTCTCGTTCCCATTGCTCATCCACCACTCATAATGCCAACCCCTCTCACCTCCCCATCTCCCCCCCTCCCGCCCACTGCCGCCCCCCCCTGCCCTCCCCCAGCTTCATTCTGTACGCCATCGCCCTGCTACCATGCAACCAGCACCCCACACTCCCTGCCGCTGCTGCCACCGCTGCCAACAGTGCCAGCGGTGCCAGCAGCAGCAGCATCAGCAGCAGCGGGGGAGGAGGGGAGGGGATGCGGGGGGGCGTGGTGCTGGGTGCTGTCTGCTGGGTGCTGCCTGCTGGGTGCTGCCTGCTGGGTGCTGCCTGCTGGGTGCTGTCTGCTGGGTGCTGCCTGCTGGGTGCTGCCTGCTGGGTGCTGCCTGCTGGGTGCTGTCTGCTGGGTGCTGTCTGCTGGGTGCTGCCTGCTGGGTGCTGTCTGCTGGGTGCTGTCTGCTGGGTGCTGCCTGCTGGGTGCTGCCTGCTGGGTGCTGCCTGCTGGGTGCTGTCTGCTGGGTGCTGCCTGCTGGGTGCTGCCTGCTGGGTGCTGTCTGCTGGGTGCTGTCTGCTGGGTGCTGCCTGCTGGGTGCTGTCTGCTGGGTGCTGCCTGCTGGGTGCTGCCTGCTGGGTGCTGTCTGCTGGGTGCTGCCTGTCTGCTGGGTGCTGTCTGCTGGGTGCTGCCTGCTGGTGCTGGTGCTGCCTGCTGGGTGCTGCCTGCTGGGGTGCTGCCTGCTGGGTGCTGTCTGCTGGGTGCTGTCTGCTGGGTGCTGCCTGCTGGGTGCTGTCTGCTGGGTGCTGCCTGCTGGGTGCTGCCTGCTGGGTGCTGTCTGCTGGGTGCTGCCTGCTGGGTGCTGCCTGCTGGGTGCTGCCTGCTGGGTGCTGCCTGCTGGGTGCTGTCTGCTGGGTGCTGCCTGCTGGGTGCTGCCTGCTGGGTGCTGCCTGCTGGGTGCTGTCTGCTGGGTGCTGCCTGCTGGGTGCTGCCTGCTGGGTGCTGCCTGCTGGGTGCTGTCTGCTGGGTGCTGTCTGCTGGGTGCTGCCTGCTGGGTGCTGTCTGCTGGGTGCTGTCTGCTGGGTGCTGCCTGCTGGGTGCTGCCTGCTGGGTGCTGCCTGCTGGGTGCTGTCTGCTGGGTGCTGCCTGCTGGGTGCTGCCTGCTGGGTGCTGTCTGCTGGGTGCTGTCTGCTGGGTGCTGCCTGCTGGGTGCTGTCTGCTGGGTGCTGCCTGCTGGGTGCTGCCTGCTGGGTGCTGTCTGCTGGGTGCTGCCTGCTGGGTGCTGCCTGCTGGGTGCTGTCTGCTGGGTGCTGTCTGCTGGGTGCTGCCTGCTGGGTGCTGCCTGCTGGGTGCTGCCTGCTGGGTGCTGCCTGCTGGGTGCTGCCTGCTGGGTGCTGTCTGCTGGGTGCTGCCTGCTGGGTGCTGCCTGCTGGGTGCTGTCTGCTGGGTGCTGCCTGCTGGGTGCTGCCTGCTGGGTGCTGCCTGCTGGGTGCTGCCTGCTGGGTGCTGCCTGCTGGGTGCTGCCTGCTGGGTGCTGCCTGCTGGGTGCTGTCTGCTGGGTGCTGCCTGCTGGGTGCTGCCTGCTGGGTGCTGCCTGCTGGGTGCTGCCTGCTGGGTGCTGTCTGCTGGGTGCTGCCTGCTGGGTGCTGCCTGCTGGGTGCTGTCTGCTGGGTGCTGTCTGCTGGGTGCTGCCTGCTGGGTGCTGCCTGCTGGGTGCTGCCTGCTGGGTGCTGTCTGCTGGGTGCTGCCTGCTGGGTGCTGCCTGCTGGGTGCTGCCTGCTGGGTGCTGTCTGCTGGGTGCTGCTGCTGGGTGCTGCTGCTGGGTGCTGCCTGCTGGGTGCTGCCTGCTGGGTGCTGTCTGCTGGGTGCTGCCTGCTGGGTGCTGCCTGCTGGGTGCTGTCTGCTGGGTGCTGTCTGCTGGGTGCTGCCTGCTGGGTGCTGTCTGCTGGGTGCTGCCTGCTGGGTGCTGCCTGCTGGGTGCTGTCTGCTGGGTGCTGCCTGCTGGGTGCTGCCTGCTGGGTGCTGTCTGCTGGGTGCTGTCTGCTGGGTGCTGCCTGCTGGGTGCTGCCTGCTGGGTGCTGCCTGCTGGGTGCTGTCTGCTGGGTGCTGCCTGCTGGGTGCTGCCTGCTGGGTGCTGTCTGCTGGGTGCTGTCTGCTGGGTGCTGCCTGCTGGGTGCTGCCTGCTGGGTGCTGCCTGCTGGGTGCTGCCTGCTGGGTGCTGCCTGCTGGGTGCTGCCTGCTGGGTGCTGCCTGCTGGGTGCTGTCCTGCTGGGTGCTGCCTGCTGGGTGCTGTCTGCTGGGTGCTGCCTGCTGGGTGCTGCCTGCTGGGTGCTGCCTGCTGGGTGCTGCTGCTGGGTGCTGCCTGCTGGGTGCTGCCTGCTGGGTGCTGTCTGCTGGGTGCTGTCTGCTGGGTGCTGCCTGCTGGGTGCTGCCTGCTGGGTGCTGTCTGCTGGGTGCTGCCTGCTGGGTGCTGCCTGCTGGGTGCTGTCTGCTGGGTGCTGCCTGCTGGGTGCTGCCTGCTGGGTGCTGCCTGCTGGGTGCTGTCTGCTGGGTGCTGCCTGCTGGGTGCTGCCTGCTGGGTGCTGCCTGCTGGGTGCTGTCTGCTGGGTGCTGTCTGCTGGGTGCTGCCTGCTGGGTGCTGTCTGCTGGGTGCTGTCTGCTGGGTGCTGCCTGCTGGGTGCTGCCTGCTGGGTGCTGCCTGCTGGGTGCTGTCTGCTGGGTGCTGCCTGCTGGGTGCTGCCTGCTGGGTGCTGTCTGCTGGGTGCTGTCTGCTGGGTGCTGCCTGCTGGGTGCTGTCTGCTGGGTGCTGCCTGCTGGGTGCTGCCTGCTGGGTGCTGTCTGCTGGGTGCTGCCTGCTGGGTGCTGCCTGCTGGGTGCTGTCTGCTGGGTGCTGTCTGCTGGGTGCTGCCTGCTGGGTGCTGCCTGCTGGGTGCTGCCTGCTGGGTGCTGTCTGCTGGGTGCTGTCTGCTGGGTGCTGCCTGCTGGGTGCTGTCTGCTGGGTGCTGTCTGCTGGGTGCTGCCTGCTGGGTGCTGCCTGCTGGGTGCTGCCTGCTGGGTGCTGCCTGCTGGGTGCTGCCTGCTGGGTGCTGCCTGCTGGGTGCTGCCTGCTGGGTGCTGCCTGCTGGGTGCTGTCTGCTGGGTGCTGCCTGCTGGGTGCTGTCTGCTGGGTGCTGCCTGCTGGGTGCTGCCTGCTGGGTGCTGCCTGCTGGGTGCTGCCTGCTGGGTGCTGCCTGCTGGGTGCTGTCTGCTGGGTGCTGTCTGCTGGGTGCTGCCTGCTGGGTGCTGTCTGCTGGGTGCTGCCTGCTGGGTGCTGCCTGCTGGGTGCTGCCTGCTGGGTGCTGTCTGCTGGGTGCTGCCTGCTGGGTGCTGCCTGCTGGGTGCTGTCTGCTGGGTGCTGTCTGCTGGGTGCTGCCTGCTGGGTGCTGTCTGCTGGGTGCTGTCTGCTGGGTGCTGCCTGCTGGGTGCTGCCTGCTGGGTGCTGCCTGCTGGGTGCTGTCCTGCTGGGTGCTGCCTGCTGGGTGCTGCCTGCTGGGTGCTGCCTGCTGGGTGCTGCCTGCTGGGTGCTGCCTGCTGGGTGCTGCCTGCTGGGTGCTGCCTGCTGGGTGCTGCCTGCTGGGTGCTGCCTGCTGGGTGCTGTCTGCTGGGTGCTGCCTGCTGGGTGCTGCCTGCTGGGTGCTGTCTGCTGGGTGCTGTCTGCTGGGTGCTGCCTGCTGGGTGCTGCCTGCTGGGTGCTGCCTGCTGGGTGCTGCCTGCTGGGTGCTGCCTGCTGGGTGCTGCCTGCTGGGTGCTGCCTGCTGGGTGCTGCCTGCTGGGTGCTGCCTGCTGGGTGCTGCCTGCTGGGTGCTGCCTGCTGGGTGCTGCCTGCTGGGTGCTGCCTGCTGGGTGCTGCCTGCTGGGTGCTGCCTGCTGGGTGCTGCCTGCTGGGTGCTGCCTGCTGGGTGCTGCCTGCTGGGTGCTGTCTGCTGGGTGCTGTCCTGCTGGGTGCTGCCTGCTGGGTGCTGCCTGCTGGGTGCTGTCTGCTGGGTGCTGCCTGCTGGGTGCTGCCTGCTGGGTGCTGCCTGCTGGGTGCTGCCTGCTGGGTGCTGCCTGCTGGGTGCTGCCTGCTGGGTGCTGCCTGCTGGGTGCTGCCTGCTGGGTGCTGCCTGCTGGGTGCTGTCTGCTGGGTGCTGCCTGCTGGGTGCTGCCTGCTGGGTGCTGTCTGCTGGGTGCTGTCTGCTGGGTGCTGCCTGCTGGGTGCTGTCTGCTGGGTGCTGTCTGCTGGGTGCTGCCTGCTGGGTGCTGCCTGCTGGGTGCTGCCTGCTGGGTGCTGTCTGCTGGGTGCTGCCTGCTGGGTGCTGCCTGCTGGGTGCTGTCTGCTGGGTGCTGCCTGCTGGGTGCTGCCTGCTGGGTGCTGTCTGCTGGGTGCTGTCTGCTGGGTGCTGCCTGCTGGGTGCTGTCTGCTGGGTGCTGTCTGCTGGGTGCTGCCTGCTGGGTGCTGCTGCTGGGTGCTGCCTGCTGGGTGCTGTCCTGCTGGGTGCTGCCTGCTGGGTGCTGCCTGCTGGGTGCTGTCTGCTGGGTGCTGCCTGCTGGGTGCTGCCTGCTGGGTGCTGCCTGCTGGGTGCTGCCTGCTGGGTGCTGCCTGCTGGGTGCTGCCTGCTGGGTGCTGCCTGCTGGGTGCTGCTGCTGGGTGCTGCCTGCTGGGTGCTGCCTGCTGGGTGCTGCCTGCTGGGTGCTGCTGCTGGGTGCTGCCTGCTGGGTGCTGCCTGCTGGGTGCTGCCTGCTGGGTGCTGCCTGCTGGGTGCTGCCTGCTGGGTGCTGCCTGCTGGGTGCTGCCTGCTGGGTGCTGCCTGCTGGGTGCTGCCTGCTGGGTGCTGCCTGCTGGGTGCTGCCTGCTGGG